TTTCACAAAATGTAAATTCGGCAAGAAAATATAGTGCAGCAAAAAGTAATAAACATTTTTGAATGGGCAAAACGGCGCATTTTCGCTTGAGGGGGCATTTTGTACTTTCGATACTTCCCGTTGTCTCGTGAAGTCGAGCGCTTGTAAGGATTAGTACCTGCCAACTCCTGTAAAACAGTGAACACGTTGAGCAAAAAGTACTAATCCCCGCCTCCCCCCCCCCTCCTCTCCCACCCATCCGGCAGCCGAAGTGCGCGATAACTTCAGTATCTGAAAAGATTATTAAGTCTTCTTTAGCTCTCCTACCCTAAGTCGAACTGCGCCGACAAAAGCTCAACCCTAGTCCTGGACCCGTTAGTTTTGCCGAATTCACTAAATTTGAGTTCCCAAAAAATTATTAGTTTAGTAGTAATGTATAGAATTAGTTAACACGACGAAAACACATCACTACGCCTACTCATCTCGTAGTTTTATTTATCTATTTGATTATCTGCAGGACGCATGAACAAGTGAATGAATGAATTTTTGAGACAATAAAAGTAGAAAATTAGCTGACAAGTGGTTGCCAAATCACACTGATTAGGAAGGGGGAAAAAGCAAATACAGTACTAACAAACTAGGTTAACGAATCAATTAGTGGAAATAGCGGGGTGCAAAAAATAATATTGAAAGCACAATGGTGAAAGAAAAAAAGTGAAACAATCAATGGACCAACTGTCTCTAACGATTTGTACGAAGGGAGCAGGTCAAATAGATCGGTCAAAGTTTCCGCAACAGCCATCACGGTCCAGCAGGGCGTCTATATGAATTTCTTCCCCAATAAGACCCCCCCCTCTTTCCTTCACAAACACGACCCGAACATGCATCGAGCGGGAGGAGAGAGAGAGATGTATAATTGGTATCGTCGTTATCCGCCGGGGCGGTGTCAGACGTGCAGTAAGCCCACTTGCGATTGCGTTTTCTACCTATTGTGGTTGGTTCATATTCAAAAGGACCTTTGGGGAAAAATGCCGCGGGGAGGATCTTACGCCTCCTGACATCCAGCGAAGGAAGGGTGGAGGGCAGGTCATAGTTGCCCTTGGGATTTTTGGTTGTAGACTTTGTTCTTACTGCCCGTATCGCGTGCATTACCTGCACTGAGTACCCCCTCCCCTCCCTTCTACTGCATTGTTCGTAGCAAAAGTAGAAGAAATTTCTGGACGAAAACTCTGGAAGTGTGGTGACAGTGACGGGAGAATTCGGGATAGAGTGGATATGGGAAAAGGGAGAAGGGGTCGTACTAGAAGAAGAAGAACGTAGTGGGGGGGGGTTGTGAAGTGGTCGTGTTTTAACGAAAAATATTCTTCGTATTGGGCCAATTGTGCTCCCAAACTCGGAAGTCATTTTGATTAGTTTTATTTGTGAAATATGTAGGTACAGGTAATAAAAGACCTTCGACGAGGGACCCGGGCGATTCTATCGTCGGCAAGTCAGGTCACGTCGCGCACATCGCGTCGCGGCGTCTCGCGCGGCGGCGCGGTGCGACAATTCCGGAGTTGCATTACCGACATACAAATGAGTCTCGAAGACCGCCACAAGTTCCGAAAAGCCCAAAATTGGATCAGTAATTTTGAGCAAATAACGTGGGACCAGTCTTACACCCCTTTACTTTTGAATGCGGAAAAAACAATCATTGATCATCATAGGAAAATGGGAAAAGCAGTACAGGATTAACATAAACAAGTATGGCTTGATGATCATTTAACAATTTCAACGAGCACGACGCAGCAGGACTCGTACGCGGCGCCCACCAGCGCGGCGACCTACTTATCATCGACGATAGAATCGCCACACACCCCTTGGACGAACGCTTCTACATGGCTGGAAAGAAGCGAGATACTATTGTAAAAAGCCAAAATGTTGAAATGGCAATCCGACTCTATACTTTGTCAGCCGCCATAAAAATGCCCTGGCAATAAGAAGTCGACGTTGGATACGTGGCTCATTCCAGAGTGGTGAAGGACTTCTTCGGATGCGCAAGGATAGAAGATGTTCTGAGTGCTTGCTTCTAGAATATGCCTAAATTTTTGCTGTTTCAGCCAGAGATTTTAAAATATCATTTTCGCAAGGGAAAGTGAACAGGTGTATCCGCCGGATCAGACGTTTGCTATGGAATGTGTACTGGTATACAGTGCCACTTGAGAGCCGAGCCACCCTCTAAGCCTCATGGAGAAGGTCAGGAAATCCGAGCTGTGGCGGTGCGGCGTTGCAAGTATCGCTGTGCACACGTTAATAGCCGCAGCAAAGACGAATCACTGTGCCACTGCGCGCGGTGACCTAGCGTCGCCGCAACTCGGATCTCCTGACGCACCGGACGATGGATGGTTGGAAAGAATCTAGAGGGAGCTTAAATGCCTTGAACTTGTGAGTTCTTATTTTGCCTTGACTTGCTTATTCCTTACACTGCTTACCGCTCCCTTTTCTCCGAGTGGTTACAAAAGAGCAGAAAGTATGTTCACTACGAATAACAGAAAGTATGTTCACTACGAATAATTCGAACAATCCTTTGTAACTTCCCGAGAATCAGTCCACAACTTCCAGAATGCAATCGACCGCCTTTTCCGGGTGAACTCCAGAAGGTCCAAGCCGCTGCATCGCACACAAGCGAACTAGAATTCCCGGGAGGCGGTCAAGACATTCGCGACTTGCCACTTCGTCGCGTGCGGCGATGGCGACCTTAATTTGTATTGAGCTGTCGACTGGAGCACCAGTTTTCATGTAGACTAAGACTTCATAGATATTTACGGCATTTCTTTATATATCGTCCGTTTTCACCATGAACGACCTAAAAACATCGCCCTCCTTCTGGACCGACGTCGCACGTGACGCGCGACGTCCAGCGGCGCTGCAACTTACGATTGTCTTGTCACGTACCCAAAAATCCTAGCTTCTCAACTCGACAAGGTGCTTTAGCGTCAAATCAAGTAGGTCGTAGTAGCTAGCATACGTCCTCTACCGCTTTATCCACGATTTATCTCGGAAACGACAATCGATAAATTGATTTCTTACTTGATTAAAATTTTTGGGGTCACTGTTACATCACCGTTGTGAGTCCACTATTTCAAAGGATGTAGGCCGCCATGAACTAATGAACTTAACGCTAAAGTTATGTGTCGAGTCAACTAACTAGTAACACTAGCTGATTGGGGCGCGACGCCGCAGCTCTTCAACTACATCCGCTCTTTTAGCTATAAATTCCCAAACTTTCTTCACCTAGATATTCCAATATTCGAGCCATTCACATCCATCTATTGATTGCTAGTGACTCTGACTAGTAAAAGTATGAGTCGTAACGCTAGTCTCATCCTGTTCGTCACTCAATTTTCAGAATCCCCCGCCCAGAAAATGCAAAAATATGTCACAATTAGCAAGAGACCTGCGTCCTACCATCAAATCCAGGACAGGGACAATAGGTCCATCTCGGTGCTTGGATATAACCATTGCAAAACCAAAACAGGAACTCAAACCTAATGCCCATGCAGCATAGGGTTGGTTGCTTGAGTGAACATCTCCCGCCAATTGTTGCGCCATTTCGTCGCGCGCAAGGCGCGGCGGGAACAGATGTTACAGTCTTCAAAAGCAGCATCATCAAGTCGAATTCGAGCGTCAAAACAAAACAATCAATATAATCCAAATGTATCTTTATTTTTAATCACCGAGTAATCAATATAAATACCTATCGATCAGCTTAGGCACATGGAACGGGCGCTTGCGGTATGCGTACGCCTCATCTGAGAACTAACATCATAACAATTCTGTGTGCGTGCTATGGTCACATCGGAGGGACATACTTATAAAACAGCAACTACACTCCATATCCCAGAGATGGGAAGGGCGTGGCCGCGTACTTCGTTGAAACGTGCTGCGGTTGGGCTTCCGGTGAGACATTTTCATTTTGGGGCCACTGTAATCAAATCTTTAAGCAGAACAAGGCAGGATGACCATTGCCTCAAATGAAAATATTTCACGCAAGGCTCATTACGCCATGCTGAAACGGGGTACGCGGCCACGCCCTCTTAATTCTCAGGATATGGAATGTACATACACATTGCACACTCCATAGAAATGCGATTTGACGGTAGTGGGCAACTATCACAATGGGCTTAGAGAGGAGGATGATGAGTGTATACAGTCAGCATATTTTGGCGCTAACGAGGAAACAAAAACAAATTCATAAGGGACAGAAGAAAAGACAAGTGCCAAGTGATACCATTGAAATCACAGACAATAATTCGCTGTTTGAAGCGAGTACGAGAGACAAGACGAACCCAGAAAAGGAATGTTGGCGCGTCATGGCGCCGGTGATGAATCCCGTTCACCGCCGTGACACTTCGCGGGCATGGGGCAGTGTGCGTCACGCGATGACCCATCTTCGCCGCGTGCGGCAAACGAGTGGCCGCGTCGCCGCGCATTGACCCGTGGCGCAAAAGTAGGCGGTGGTTGCACCAGCGCGCAGTACAACGATATGCAGTGCATGAAACGATCAGTGAAAGATACAACACGTCTTCAAAGCAAATTAAACACACACAAGAAAAGCCAACAACATAACAAAACCTATATGTCACAGTACAGTAAGAGCATGTGAAGGACATGGAGACGTCACTGCAATAATGAAGAAGAGTACGGCGACGACGAAAGAAGTGCATGCAATTACCCAAGCAGAAATTCGGATTCGATTGGACGAAACAGATCAATCGAACGATGGACATAAAGCTTCAATCGATACCGATAACAGTAGCACATAGCGCTACAGATAAATAGAGTATTATATGTGTAGTGGTGAAACTGATTGCTTTGGAATGCGGACGAATGTGAGTAATATCACGAGAATTTGAGGAAATAACATCCCAGTCATGTAACAATACCAGCTACAAGACATCTACGAGCAATGAGGGTATAACTCGTCAAAAGAAGTGTATGAGGCGTAATCACAGACAACATTTGATTTGTTTTGGTCACGTTCAAGGTATGATAACCCCGTATTGTTTGACTTTGTCCTCATTGTACTCTTTGAATCGCCAGTGTTGGTATTTGTTCGTGTCATCGCATGGCTTCATTTCCAGCTTAGCACCATCCTTTGTCATTTCCAGACACTTCTGCGACACCGCATGATATAGGCGACCAGTCTGAAAAGTGCAGCTTGAATCCCTGCGAGGTCAAGAGGCGACACGCGGCGTCGCTCAAGCGGCGGCCCGGTGAACCATCTACGCCGCACGCGGCGTTGGCACCATGAACGCGACGGGCATGAGTCACCACACACCACGCATGCGAGGACGCTGTTCGCATTCCCTAAACTGGTGCTGGCATCCGCTCTACACACAGGACTGCGGGAGCGTCGGTGATTCAAGAGTCAATCCACAGTAACCAGGTTGGCAGCAACCCTCTACCGCCTTCTTCATTCGCGCACTCTCCCATCTAAACTGATGAGTAGAGAGACGTGTCAATGAGAAAGGCGCTATGGTCATGAGTTTGTTTCGAAGGCACATTTAGGATTTTTCAAAAGCGGTGCAAGGGTA